ATTTTTTTTGAAATATTTTGGGCGGTTGCCAACCCTGGCGGTTCCGCCCCACCGGAGTCAATAGATGAAGTGTGATTAAAGTAAAGTTTAAAAGCTAATTTCAGGTCCAATTAGTCCATGTCCCCATGACATTGTTGCCTCAGCTTATCTCTAAAGCGTCACAGGTGACTTTAGATCAGCTGATGTGTTATTTTACTAAATAGTATTAGTAAAAAAGAGAGTTAAGAAGGGTATGTAATCCCTTGTTTTTATTAATTTTCAAAGAGAAAATATTAGATTGTCAATTTCATGTTAGTTATATAATGCAAACCCAAAAGTAAGCAGGTAATAAGACACCTAATGTAGGACATCAATTATTTTAATTTAAAGGGCTATTTTGTATATAGTCCCTCTAGAAGATTGGTAATTAGCATATAGTCCGGACTTTATCGTTTGTAAATGGTCCTGAAATTGTTACTTGATTGTCAGTCAACTGTGTTGACTCGAGTTATGCCATCTAATTTTTTTAATTCCCTAAATACCCTTCATGTGCTTCTCACGTACACAACTTAAAACTCAAAAAATTTTGGGTCCACGACTCCACGTGTCGATATCTCCTTGGTTGAAAAAAAATCTAAAGACTGATATAGTGCCACGTGGACGCAAAATTTTTGTTTTTCAGAGTTTTAAGTTGTACACGTGAATGGTATTTAGGGAATTAAAAAAATTGGATGGCTTGACTCAAGTCAAGTAATGATTTCAGGACCATTTGCTAATAAACGATAAAGTTTGGACCATATACTAATTACCAATCTTTTAGAAGGGCCATATACAAAATAACCCTAATTTAAATGACAAATATGCCCGTACACTTGTTGGTAATTTTGAAGGTAAATATTACACAAATGTGGAGGACAAACGCATTACAAACTGCACTGCAAGTCTTTTCTGGTTGGCAAATGAAGTTAGTAAGGTTGAAGGGATCCATACTTTTTAAATTACGTGAGGTAACTGTTGGAACAAATTTACTGTCTGACAGCCCAGTTCTGAAACTGCGGTCTGTCAGACTTTGCGA